CACTGCCATGGCTCGTTTTGTATCCAGAGTCTCCTGGAGGGAGAGTGTGAGTTTGCGTATAGATCTATACCAGATTGACTATCCTACACCTTGTTGCTAGCTACAGTGGGACCTGCAGGTCTTCAGGTGCCAAATGTCATTACTTCTGACGTTTTTCATCGTCGTGTTTTTAGTCGATAGTATGGTACAATCAAATCACATTATACCTTGATAAAAATATGGTTTAAGGTAGTTAGTATACATGGGCGGATCCAATGTAGATCCCGGGGTAGCCCGGGATACCCCTCAAAAAAAATTTCGGTAGTGTAATTCTTTTTAGCAAAATTTCGTTTTACATAGTGTATATATATGTTTCCCTTCACTTATAAACCCAAACAAACATGTGGTCTGCTGGATAAGGCGCTAGCATATTGAAGTAGAGGTCTAAGGATCAAATCTCCCTCCTTACATTTTCTTTGTTTACCTTTTATTTTTATTTTCCCAACTAATCTATCCCACATCGCCAAACACATGTAAATTTAGCCAATTTCGTCTATTATATTAACTTGTTATCTTGATTCTTCATTTGATATCTACTTTTATTCCCACATCGCTTCAAGTATCAAAAGATACTTCGACTTCATGTTTATATAATATGACTTTAGGTTATTTAAGGATTCGATTAAGGTTTAGGTTTAAAACTGAAACCGAAGTACCTCGAAAAAAAAATTAGGCCATCCGAAATTTTTTTGGGATACCCTTTTACTTTGAACCTGGCTCCACCACTGTTAGTATAGCAATAGTTACTATAATACAACACTACAGTACTATATTATTTTCCCCTTTGCATTCACTTTGTGATATTCTCACATATACAGTAATGTATATACTATATTTTGTTAATGATAGTTACACTTGGGAAAATTACACACTTTTACAATAAACAAACATACAAAACATTCGGGCCTTTGTAGAAGGCTACTTTTAGTAGATACAAACATTTACAAACATTAGCAAACATTTGCAAACATCTACAAACTTCTACAAACCCTTTCTTCAAACACTGTTACCAACATTTTGATACAAATAATGACACTAAAATGCTTATGAACTCACCAGCTTTAAAGCTGATAAACTCTTTCAAAATAACTTATATTCTCATATCATCAGTAGACAGGTACCGATGCCAGTTTTTGAGAAGATGGAGCGCATTCGAGACTCATCTTGTATTTTGATTTACATTTTTTGTGTCTTATAAACTATACAGAACACACTTGTATTAAATTATATTATTAATGCAATTGATGATGTTGTTTGCTTGTTTACTATTATTATGTGTTGTGATACTGTACATGACGTCCTTCACCCCCAAACGTTTCTGCCGTTCCGGTTTTGGGGTGTGACACAAATGACGAAAACATTTAAGACGAATAAAGACAGATACAAAAAGGATGTGGAACGAGCATTAAATAATCAAAAACCCGAACGATAATGGCACCCTAAAAAATACAATACTTAATATATGTATGCATCATATTACATCATATTACATAACACCAAATAAAGGAGATATACCATTACAATAAAAACAAAATTTTACCATCGTTTCAAGTGGTAGAAATTGGTTTGCCGTAATAGATAGAAAACAAAATGGAAGTAATAAAACGAGATACGCACCACAAGGTACATATTGATTTGGTGGAACATATTTACGTAACTTAGCTAAATACTGTCGACGATGATTTGGATAAGAAATCAGACACGGATTTGGACAAGAACTCAAACCCAAATTTGGATGGGAATTCAGAGCGACGTGCTTTTTAATTACTATTATGTATTTATGATTATTTTATTTTGAATTAATGAAAATAAAATATAATATTTCTTTATACTTTTATACATTTTATTTTAAAGAAATAGAACACTGAAGGAGTGACCATTTCCTAAATAAGGAGACAATAAGAAGGAAATGATATAACGTTGGGCTAACGGGAAAAAGAGAGATGTGGTGAAAGCGTGCATTTTGCTCAAGTAGAAAGAAATATTATATTCTATGTTTAGTAATAAAATCAACACTTATTTATCAAAACAATTTTGTTTCTTATTGGAATGACAGTAAAACAAAACAATCTTGTGAAAGAGAATCAATCTTGTTATTTGATTCTTTTGATTTATTAAGATTCCTTTTGGGTGATTTAAATTAAGACATGTCGTAGAAAACATATTGTTCATAGTATGTAATTAATATAAATATAATTGAAGTGATTATAACTGAAATATATAAAACTGTATGCAAATTATATATAATACATCATTACATTGAATGCAAAACCATCAAGGTGGAATACTTGTTGTCATTGGGTTTTAGCCATTTGTCTTTAATGGAGAGCTTCTGTTACATTGTCATAGATTTTGGAAGTACAAAAATATTCATTTTACACCCTCTGGTTTTTTAAAATTCTAATGAAACCCCAAGCAAAAATAACTAGGGATATGTGATTTTAGCGAGCTTCAAACTCCAAAATATAAACTATCGGAAACTATTTATTGGCACAAAAGACAAACTAATGTTTGATGCTGCCAGAATAATAGATGCATTTTTTTCTTAACTTAGACAATTCAAATTTGAAGTATATATTAATTAAAATAATCAATAAAAAAACATTACATAAAAGTTGATAACAATTATTTTTTGACATATGATCCATGTACCTTCATATGGCTCATATATACTCTATAGTATTTCAGTCAAAACACATAACCTTAACATTAGGGAGCTAACAAAATAACACCTAAACGAAAATCCAACCAAAAATCTACTATTTTCATGAATTATGATATCCGAGTTACTTTTCCATTAGCATCACAAATCAGACAGGCCTTTTAGGTAGTTGGACACTTTGATGGCTAATGTTGATATTATACTTTTGAAGTTTGGTGAAAAAAAGAAAAATACCAAAGTATAGGTACAACTCTTAAACTATCCTAAAACAGCATTAACATTAGTAAAAAGTTCCTTTTAGGCCCTTACTTTGTCATATTATTCAATTTAGCTTCCTAACTTATAGAAACACATCCTTCTAAATAAAAGTGACTAAACAATCGTTTAAAATTTTATCATCCATGTTATTCGGCAATTTATTTTCTCTAAACTTGCTATAGCAAGCGGAAAGAATATATTCTATGTAGTTATCCAATGCTATACATCATGCTACATTCCTTTTAATTCTGGGTACAATACCACATAGCATGTTAAAACTTTCTTCTTTAAGATAATTGATGATTTTATCTAAAAAAAAGTGATTACAAGAAGCATGGCCATAGATTACATATTAGTATTATTATTCGTAAAAAGCTTCCTACTTTTTATGCCTACAAATGTTCCTATCCAATAAAATTATGACAAGTATCATCATTCCATATTTTTTTAACTAACTCATTAAGATTATATTAGGAATATATCAATTACAATTAAATTGAATGATGATTTGTCATAACTTTAGTGGGTAGGAATAATTGTATGCATAAAGGTAGGAGGTAATTTAATTTCTCTTTTATAAGTTCTAAGTTAAACATTGCTATTACCGAAATATAAGCATTTTGTCATTACGGATAGAAATTCTAAGTAACTTGCAACTATGGGATAAAATTATAGTATGTATCTTTATTGATAGCAAAAATAAAATATGTTGTTATCTTTTGCAATTTACCATTTTAAATGGAACCTAAAATAGTGGAGAAGAAACTAACTGAATTTCACACTCCTATTTATTCAAATAATTAGTCAAAAGTTGGTTTATCTGGTCTATAATCAACTAAAATATGAAGCAATTCAACTTTTTGTAGTTGATGGAGCTTGGAGGCAATGATGGTAATGATTTGCTTTAATTACCCTTTCAAACCCCTCAATTTTAAGCTATTCGATGCAAGCATTCCTATAAGATCAATATCTAAGTAATACATTGTGCATACTTTGGAAGTATACTTAAAAAGGACGATTAACATGTGTTTGGTTCTTTTCTTCTTTGATTGTCAAAAACTTGTGTTTTGTGTGTAGCATGGTGCTTCGATATTGGTACAGAGGCATACCAATGGACCAATGGTATTGGTAGATTCATTGGCATTATACCAAACCACATAATAGATTTACTAACAAAAGTAGAACATTATGAATGGACCAAATAAGAAAGATAATGAAACAGTGTGGACCTAACCATCCAATCCTATAAAAGTTATGGGCATCTTAGTCTTTTCACATGTAAGGAATTTCTTTTCCGAAAATTCAAAGCTATAGTGAGTTGGGAAAGATATTGCAATACAGAATAGAAGATTCGGAACCTATACATGAGACATCAATTTGGTTCACCCATTCCAAAGAAATAGTAAGAAAAAAAGGGTATTAGGGTCATATGATAATCACACAAGATTAGGTGAAAGTTGTGAAATTCTTGGAAGTAGGGGGTATTTTTGATAATATCATTAAACCTCATAGATGATTGTGTAATAACATAATCTTAAGTCTTAACTCTCCTTCGTTGCACATGTAACACATTATTAATTTAATCTAATTATAATTTTAAGATATTATTGTTTTTCAAGATTCTAATATCTCATGAGAAAGCTCCATTTGTTTAGTTAACTTTGGTTCCCAAATTTATTCTTGTCTTCCAAAGCATATAGTCTCCCCATTTAACTTCAATAAGTCCTCAAAGAATTTATATAGATACATGATGTATCGGTGTATATATCTTTGAAACTTTTAGCACTTTTACCTTTTGAGTGTAGGGAATTCATTCTGTGGTTGCTTCTTTCTCTCTGTCTTTGTTGTACAAAAGAAAGAACCCATCCATAAATAAACAAAATTCCCAAAGGGGACAAAGAAAAAAAAAGAAAAGAAAAGTCGAAAAACAAATAAAGAAACTTGGTAGTGGGAGAAGTTGAATTTTTGGGAAAAGAGCATAATCGAGGTTTTGGTGGGTACTGGTGAAAGAAAGTGGTGGTGTGGTGATAGTTGTATTCAAATGGACGGCAGATACGGCGGTGGTGGCGGTGGTGGTGGTGGTGGTGGTGGGTGTTTTGAGTTTGAGAGTGGTGGGGTGGTGATGACAAGAGACCCAAAGCCAAGGCTCAGATGGACTGCTGATCTTCATGATAGATTTGTTGATGCTGTTACTAAACTTGGTGGCCCTGATAGTGAGTCTCTCTGTTTTCTCTTTTAAAATCTTTGATCATAAATAATGTCTTAATCTTTCTGTTTTTGAGAATAAAAACTGATTAAACTGGTTGGTTTACGTGTTTAAACTTGTGGGTTATTCGACTTTTTAAAGTTTTTAAAGCTAAATGACTCAATTTTGAGTTTCCAATTGGTCAAAGGCTTCTGTTCATTGAATTTGACTAATCTTGATGAGATTCTTAATCTTGATCAGAAGTCTCCCAATGCCCAGAATCCAAGATTGTTCAAACAATTGAAAAGTTTTGGTCTTTATGGACCATTTTCCAGATTGTGAAAAATGTCTGCTTTTTTCAAATTTAATTTTCCGATTACGTCTTCATGGGATCAAGAATCTTTATATCCATAATCAACCCAACAAAAGAATTGCAGGTTAAATTGGTTTTTGAATGCTAATATGAAGACTACGACGTATTATAAGCGTTCTCGATTTGAAATTTGTAAGAAAATTCTGATGCGATTCGAAACTAATGTTGGGTTTGTTTTTCCAGAAGCAACTCCTAAATCGGTGCTGAGATTGATGGGATTAAAGGGGTTGACATTATACCATTTGAAGAGCCATTTACAGGTAGAGTTTCACACTCTTCATCAATCCCAAGAACTTCACGTTTTAGACTTGGAAAGTCAAATCTTGAACTACACGAATTCAAATTCGACTTCGATTCTAATCGTTTTCTGTTTACACACGATTCAAATCCAACATTATTTACATAATCGGATTTAGTTCGCTAGTTTCTTCTACAACATCAAACCGGTTCTTGTGGATTTTGAAGTTGAAAGTCAGCGTTTGACACTCATAAAGTCAAACATGAAGTTAATTTCATTAAGTTTGATTTGTTATTTAAACTTTAAAACTTTGGAGTCTTGTTTTATGTTTATAGAAATATAGACTTGGACAGCAGGCAAAGAAGCAAAACAATGGTGATCCGAACAATGAAAACAGTGGTAAGCATCGATCACATTTTGATCTTTCATCGATTTCACACGTTTTTTTTTTCAGTATTTCTCATGGTTATTTGATCATTTAGGTGATTCCTATGAACACTACAATCTGCATTCGACAGGCACAAGCTCCAATTCTTTGAGAGCTAATCACGAACCAGTGTATGCATCGTTTCTCATATGTTCCATCATATTTAATTCAGCTTAAAAGAATCTCAATCTGAATAGCTTTTTATTTATTTATTTATTTATTTCGTATACAGAGATATACCTATTGCAGATGCACTGCTATGCCAGATTGAAGCACAAAAAAGGTTACAAGAGCAGTTTGAGGTATATAACAATTTCTTCTTCAGTTCAAATTGCATCGTTTTCTGTCACAATATGCCTCACCAAAATCCGATTTCTATTTTAGGAAAGATTCCTATTTCAGAAAGTTGTCTGATTGCTTATTTTTACTATTAAATTCAAAAGAGAAAAGACCACAACCTATTATTTTCACCATTTTATTGATTTGACCACGTAACTGTTTTCTATAGTGATTAACAATAATCATAAAACATAATATTCCAGTGGCTAAATTGATAAACTAACGAAAGTATGTAGTTATTTTATGCATTTTCAAACCATGAAAATGGTCTTTTTAAACGGTCAAAAATATATAAAAGTTTAATCACTAAAGAAAATAGTTAAGTCTTATATTGCTCTTATCTCCATCATCACAATTACTATTTAATGGCATTAACTTGTATATCGAAGGGTGTCTTAGTCATTTTCACATGTGTAATGAAACACTCATTAGGTACAGAAGAAACTACAAATGAGAATAGAAACTCAAGGAAAATACTTGCAAGGAATCTTAGAGAATGCTCAAAAAAGCCTCTCACTTGACATGAACTCATCTGGCAATCTTGAAGCAACACGAGCTGAACTAACCAACTTCAACTTAGCCCTTTCGGATCTCATGGACAATTTAAATGGAGAAGGAAGGCAAGAGAATGTTTCTAAATTTAGCCACGATGGCAAGAAGGGGCCCACAACAGTAAAGGAAGAAATGAAGATCAAAACGGAGGGCGGTGGTGGTGGTGGTGGTGGGTCCATCAGTTTTGATTTGAACACAGGAGGTAACTACGACTTCATTGGCACAAATCAAGATTTACTTGCACTTGGGTTTACGAGACAAAACTAGAGAGGATTGATATATTTATTGTGCAATAATTCATCTAAATTTTGTCGATGCAAACCCAATGCGATCGTATGGTAGAGGGATGTTTTCATGGTAGGCCAAAGGGTGCATCATATCGATCATGTGGTGGTATAAATCACTTTTGGAGTTAATGTGTAGATTCATAATTAATATTAACGTGTATTTTCAGATCATGCTTTCTCTTAATTTTATTTTAATAAACATATTCTATCTAGAGGCATTATTATTTTGTTGAGTCAATAATAACGTTATTACAAAGATTAAGTCATTCTTGATATCATTGTTATTGTCTTCGTTATTACCATAATTGATGTTTTATCTTTTGTTTTATTTTCAACAAATATATCGATAAACTCCAAATTATTATTTTTTCGATCAAAGATGTATCGTCAATATAGATGATGTTCAGGGATTGTTATTATTTGTTGTTATGAACGAAAGTAATGAAAATAGTATTATTCATTTATTTATGTGTTTAGCTTGATTTTATCTATATTGTCTTTACTTCGATCTTTTTCTTCATCGTCTACAAATTGTAGAGAATCAAACTTATAAAAAAAAAATTGTGTGCGTCTACGTACTTTCACCATGTGATTTTGATTCTTATTTGTTTGATCAAGTAAAAAACAATTTTATGAACGGGTATAGCATTCTCTATCCTCATAACTGAATCCTCACTTCCATCTAGGGGTGGCGAATTGGGCAATCATATCGTGTTTTTGTCTGATACGATACGATACGATAAGGTTTTATGTAACACGACACAACACGATGTCGTGTTGTTTTAACTAACACGAAAACAAATCAATGAAAAAACAACAAAGATGACACGACATGAAAACGATAAAAGAAATAACAAATAGTTTATTTAATTAATAATTAATCGTATATAACACAACAAACACGACAAATAAATGTTAAATCGTGTCAATGTCGTGTTGAATTTTGAACACAAACACAACATGACACGACATTGTCTTTTTTATACTTGATATGAACACAAAGTGAACAAGAAGTTGAATTTCATTTTCGTCTCATTTTCGTTTTGTGTCATGTATTTTTGTCATGTTATATCATCAATTGTCATGCCTACCTCCATTCCCGTAATCATTGCCATCCTCGTCGGGTATGAAAAATTTGTCGCAATCCCCACCCCCAACAAAACAAAAAACTAGGATCCCCATGGAGGATTTCCCCACGTTACAAGTTTATAAACCTGGATTGGTCTCAGGTTGTAGCCTTGCAGGTTGATTGGTTTCAAGCTTAAGTTGGCTCTTAAAACCAGTCGCAACTAGTCTTTAATTGGTGTCGGGAAGAAAAACAAGAATAATCACACAAAAACGCAATATTTACATGGTTTGATCAATATGACGTACATCCATCAATAGGAAGGAGTATCTTATTCACAAACTTGCAAAACGATAGTATATTACAACATCAAACCCTAGCGCTCTCTCTCTCTCTCTCTCTCTCTCTCTCTCTCTCTCTCTCTCTCTCTCTCTCTCTCTCTCTCTCTCTCTCATCAATGTATCCCATAGGGACTTAACGCTTGTGAACATCTAGTAAGTCCACGCAAAGCTTGAACCTCTCTATGGGCGACGACTTTGTAAACATGTTAGTTGGCTTCTCCTTGGTATTTATCTTTTGAAAAGAAAACATTTTTTCTTCAAAAACATCTTTGATGAGATTTAGTTTTACATCAGTATGTTTTGTTTTTTCGTGATAGACCGTATTCTTTACAAGATATAAAGCACTTTGACTATCATAAAACATGATAGGTTTCTCCACCTTTATTCCAAGACTCTAAACGATAATGTATAACCATATGCACTATTTTAATGCACCAATCATTAAAATATACCATGTTTCAATTGTAGACAAGGAAATAGTAGGTTGCAATGTTGACTTCCAACTTATATACATCCAAATAAAGTTAAGATGCAACATGTAAGTGATATTCCTTTTACAGTTTGACCACATCACTACCATGGTCCGAGTCTGTAACACATCCCACTTGATTGTAACACATATTCCACTTTCCCAATAAATATATTTTGGATTACCTAATAAACCTAATTACCTCATTAATGGTATGAGCCGGAGCAAATCTACTGAAGACCATAACATAAATGAGACTTCCAACATCACTCGAATATGTAAGTATGCTCGTGTAATCTCTTTCCTCATCCAAAATCATATGATTCATATTTTTTTCGATTATGTCGTTCTTAATTTCCAAATGACAAATCTGGGTTTTATTTCCTTACACTTGGTATTATAGTCGTGTCTTGAAGATCTACGCGATTTGTTCTAGGACCGATCTTGATTGGACAAATTCTTAAATAATTCAATTGAAGATTCAATAGTTGTTGAGTTTCTCAATTCTTGGAATCTCGTGTTCTTAGTTTTCTAGCTACTATTCACCATGAATTATGTTCATATGTATTTGAAAATTCACTATTTGAACCCAATTACTTATGATTCCGCCCAATGATCTTGGTATATTGAGTTTATTAGATTAAAAGCCCAATTATTTGACATGTTGCTCGGTTACAATATTATTTTAAGCCATCGATTGAGTCCAGATCTCACATGATTTGAATAGTCTTGATTGTCTATTTTGGATCGATTCATGATTGTCGTTTTAATATTCTGGATTGCCTTGTTCGAAGATTAAATCCGTTCACTTTCATTTTCTCGATTTAGATCTTCAATCTCAATTCACTTCATCTGATTCTTTGACAGAACAATCATATAATGATAATCAATCATTATCAATTCATTCGTTAAATATGTTTCCCAATGATGCTATAATCAATGGTCGTTTGTTATTAACCATCATGTTTGCCTCATGATAATCATTAATTTGTATTTATCAATGAAGATTTATGACCGATACTATTAAAAATATGTTCTGGAAATTTATTTGGAGATCTATGAGTACCCTGATCAATACTTTTTTGCAACTAATTGCTCATAAAAAACAATAAAGACACCATTAAAATAATAACAAAAACAGACAACAACCGACCCGTTTGATACAAGAGACCAAATTCGAAATGGTTATTTCTCTCAGTTGGCCACTTGTAAATTAGATGAAAGAGAAACTATTTTCTAAATGAAAGTTTGGGTTGCACATGGTCACGAATGGAGATATTATAAGAATCCTAAATATTGTATGGTCGTATGAACTAGTGAGATTTTAGAGAAGTTTAAATCAATAATTAGTCAAATAAGGATAGATTATTAATATTGCATATAGAGATTAAATAACATTCAAATTTAAAATGCTATAATTAAAGAACATGCTTACAAGCAAACGGAAAGAGAAAAAGGTCCATCAGATTTATTCTTACGTGCCACACAATATTTGGTCAGAGCAAGCAATTGATGATTTCAGTTTTATCCAAATAATTAACAAACATTAATAATGTGAATAATTTACAGCACACAAGTAAGCTAAGGTTTAGTGAGCCCATGAGATTGATTGATGCAGTAGAAGAGAAGGCATAAACATAGTGAGGTAAGGTTACATATCATTTGATTTGGAGACGAAATGAAATGATTTACATACATTACTACTCATAATGATGTACACCATAACAAAAGTAAGAAACAATGAAAAAATAATCTGGTGTTATCAGCCGCCATTTAAGAAGCAAATTATGTTGAATTATAATTTTCATGAATGAGAATAATATAGGAAAGCTGATTAAAGTTGGTAAATGGTCTGTCTGTTTCTCATTTCATGACCATAAGAAGAAGAAGACGATGAGGAAGAGGAAGAAGAAGGGAATAAAAAAAAAAAAAAAAAAAAAGGAAACCAAAATTTAGTTTTTCAATCAAATACATTGATGAGTAAAGCAACCACATACCGGAGCAGAAACAGGATTCAAGAATAAATGAGTTGTTGGGTGGATTGGGTTCTAGTTTCTCCTTCGTTTCTCAGATGGACTCCCACCACCTTTCCTTTTCCTACTACTAGACTTCGGTGACAACCTTACATCATCATGATCATGATCATGACCATTATTATCATCATCATCAAACATCCTCCTTACGGCCCCGACTTCCCCTTCTTCCACAGCCTCAAACTCTTGACTCCTTGACGTCTGTCCTTTGGACGAAGTATGATACTGTCCATCTTCGACATCATCATCATCATTATCATCATAACCATCATCATCATTCGAACCTCCTCCTCCTGCTGCTGCTGCTGCTGCTGATGTTTTAGACCAGTTATTGTTGTGGTTATGTTTCCTTTTCTCTGATTCAGCAGCCAACTCAATCCCATCTTCCAACTCCCTCTCAATCAAATCATCTTCATCCATGAAATCAGTCCTACGTGTCACATCCCCACCACGCGCCTTCCTCCGTTTCTCAAGCGCCGCCTTCACCTTATCCTTATCAATCTTTTTGATGGCATCCTGTGGCGACTGCCCTTTGTAATACTTGTCTTTCTCTTTCTCTTTACGACTTCCCTCATGCCCTTCGGAGCCATCTTCACCTCCATGTTGACTTTCGTTGACTTCGGAGGTTCTTGGTGGGCCATCCTGATCGGGCGGGGGATGTGATGATGTAGGGTTTGAGCTGCTTCTGTTTGGTCCATGTTCATGTTCTTCATCCATGCCAACAGCTCTTGTGGTGGGCCCCTTTTGATTCACCCCGCCACCTGTACTCCCGTCAACCACTTCACTCGTCTGAGCTGGCGCCACTCTGTTTTGTTCGTACAGTTCCAACATTTGGTTGCTCACCTCTGAAAATTTAAAAAAAAAAAAACAAAATATGATGATGATGAATATTATAAAAGGGTAGAAATGGAAAAAAGAGAGGAGAGGGACCTTCTAGCTGGCGGGGGGTGACATCGAACTCCTGCCACCAGACTTTCTCGCCGTCGGAAGGGAGTTTGACTTTGAGGAACTTGGCGGCTAAGAAAATGGCACCGGCTGCGATGTGATGGGGCTTAAATTGCAAGCACAGAGATGTCCGGAGCCTGCACCTCTTTTGGATGTCAAAATGAATGGAAAACGATTGATAAATACACAATCACAACATACACAGCATGCCTACCCATCGTTCACAAAATTCCATGCAACTTGAGCAAGGGCATTTTGGGCAACCTTGAACTTCTTTATTGCCTCTACTAGTGGTTTATACGGGTGATGCACGTTAAAATCAAAACCCAGAGTTGCAAGAACAACACGTTCTCCCAATAATATTAATTCCTTTTGCTGTTCATACACTTCCTGCATTCCAACATCAAAATCAATTCCCATAATCACTCACTCTACCACTTCAACTCTTGAAGAGTTTAAAACTTACCTTCTGTTTGATTCTTTGTATTGCCTCGGGATCCTTTTTGTTATTAATCTCGTAAGAAACGAGGATAACATCTTTCAAAGGCCGAGGAGTTTCTTCAACCTTGCCTGCAAGAAACATACAGACAGTTGCAACTGTCTGCAATGCAATCTTACCATATTAGTAAAATTACTCCACACATCACATCCCATCACAATTTTATTAACATAAAGAAAAGAAAGTTCTAACTGTGTTGTGTTATTTGCTTCTGTTTTGATGGAAGGCAATAATTAATAAACAGCATAATTCTTTTCTCAAACAGTAAGTGGCTTTGCAGCTGTTAGATGTGTTAATTGCTTTTGCTTATTAGTTATTATACGTGTTTGTGTTATTTGCTTCTATTTAGATGTTGATATCTATACACAGAGAAACACCAAACAAGAGCTACTGAAATTTCAACATACTCCTCTTCGGTCTTCATTTTGATATTTTATATTGAATCCCTTTTACTTTGATTTTATCATAAAATTCTAACAATGTTATCTTCAACATAGTTAACTATATTCCTTCCTAATCCTATTTCCATCAGGTTCAAAACGATATTACACTGTTTACGCAATACAGCAGCATACTTCAAAATTTCATTCAAAATATTAATGTATAAATTCTGATGGTGAAAAATGAGTTTAAGGAAAGGAAAGGAAAAGAGGAAGCAGTGCACTGACCCTCCTGTCATTCTTTGCATGTGATTGACGGAGGAAGAAACGGTGACAAAAGATTATAGCTGTAGCAATCGTTACCTGGGGCCTGTAACAACAAGATCAATGTAACACCACATATTAGATATACAACCACAACAGCAGAATCACATCATTTTTAATTTTCAGCAACAGAAAATAAGGATATGTGCTTCTTAAAATCTGTTTTATCAGGTTAATCTATCCAACTGTTAAAATTTATATTTTAGATTATTCAATAATCTTTACTCATCTTTCCTAAGGTTAAGGTATTCAACTCCCAACTTATTATACCCGTTTTCCACTTTATTTTGAATACCATGGTGACCATCCATACTGAGCACTTGCCACTTGCTGTGATACTATACTAGTTAGTTTCTGACCTGAAATACTACAAAATGGAATACAGAAAGGGAATGATAGATATTGGCAGTTAGTTTGTCCCAGATAATGAATCACAGATCGTAGAAAGGACACAGATGTCTTTGCATATTTTTTTTCAGGGTTTCTGGTGATTTTATAAAGTAGGTTTTACATTTGTATCATCAAACCAAAAACAGGGAGATCGTTGGTGCAAGTATACTGAATTCATATTCCAAAATTATAACTACATTTGACAATCCTGTTTATTATCAAGAAGAACGCTTTTTGGAATAAAAACATCTTGAAGATCCTCCACCCAATTCCATATCAAACTTCTATTCCACACAAGTGTTCCAGAGTAACATTGCCCAAGACTGAGTCTTATTATATAGTAATACTCTTTTATTTTGGGGGGAGGGAGGTTATATACTAAAATAAAACAAAAGACTCTAGTAATATTCTTTAGATTCCAGAAGCAATATGCACATGAGATGAGAGGGGCCTAGATGTGAATTTCATGATTTAAATCTCTAGTTGCAATCACCTAGCATATGCACATGGTAAAAGTAAAATATATGATATTATTGAACTTCACTGAATCCCGTATGAAATGGAAACAAGAAATCAGAAATTCTTGATTTCATGTAGCTGATAATTACACTTCTGGACACTAAGACATCGCCCATATTCAAATACTGCAAAATGGATCACTGAGAGATCAAAGCCTATTGCAAATGTCAAAAGTTGCTACAACTGCTGAGGTAAAAAGTTACTTGGTCATAACATGAAACTAAGGGAGAGAGTCATGAGGCCTTAAACAGCCATATCAAATTATCACTTTGATTTTGGAAGAGATCATTTGTGAGATTCTGGGTGGGGTGCCATGATGTACGTATTTTTGCACAGTGACATTGTGTTAGTGGAAGACACAAGTGTGGAGCTAAAGGTTAGGTTGGATTGCTTTGAGAATGAAGTTGGAAGAAGAAGGCACATGAGAGGAAGATGGAAATTGCATAAAGAAGGATGCATGTCATAGAACAATTCTGAACAAAATACTGAATGCAGTAAGCAGAAATAAGTTGAGAGTTAAGTCGATCACTGAAAATTTGCAAGCGAGGAAGACTACATTGGTTTGGACATGACAAAAAAGAAATGCATGAAGATGGTAAAACTGAATAAAACCATAAATACCTCTAAAACTCTTCTCAGAAATTGTAACAAAGATGTTGTCTTCACATGACATATTCTCCACAATACAACGTTTCAGAAAGAGAAGGGAAGCCAATATAGTTTAATCAAATACAATCTTCAAATACCTATGATCTAAGTTGGGTTGTTTCACATCAAAACAGTCAGTACTACAGCATAAATCCTAATGCACCTTTTATGATTACCAACAAACCCAGAATATAATTATAAAACTACACAACTGGCAAGCTTTTTTTGTAATTATCTTACTGTGATTCATCCAACTTGCATGGAAATAAAGAAATGGACATGAATAAGAAGTGTGATTTGAGTAGGAGATAATGAAGAGAGAAAAAGGAGCTTACACTTTGAGACGCATACCCAAGTCTTGCAAGAATGTGCAATATGATTTACGTAGGTAAGTCTCCTTCTTCAAATCAATGCCATCTGGTCTTGATGGGGAGTTTTCCTCGATTTCTTTACGTGAAAAATACCATCTGCCACCATTTTCTTCCGCCTTACTATCATCAGCATTCCTATATGGCCCACTATCAAACATTCCAAACTGCATAGGATCACTTGACAACAAAGCAGTCATTGTTGTCTCCTGCACTCTCCACCAATTTTTTCAAACAAACAACCTCCACTCCCCCTACTTCACAGATGCATTAAACAGACATCTGCTACCTGCACAGTATGCAATTAAGAGGAATTAACATCCTTGGTGTTTTCTGAACAACATAGGTTATCCCTAGTTTACCTTAAGACATGGTGTAACAACGAAATTAAGTGAAAAACAAAGAGGCAATACAAAATGGTTAAATGAATCAGTTTTGTAATGAATAGCTCGTAAATCATATAATATAAGCACACTTGAACTCTTTCCACCTTTTATGTTGAAACTTCTAATATAAAGCATAAGTATAACAACCAAATATAACCATAATCATCTATAATGCAACCGACTATTACATAGTTAGCTGGAACCACTCGCAACCTTCACCAGTTAAAGTTCAATCAAGAAAACGTTAAAAAGACTTGCTCGTCAAGAAAGGATATGTATGCTTTCATGTTCAAGACAATAACCTACAGGAGCAGGGTTCTCTAAGCAATCAAACCTGATAAATTTCGCATAACAAAGGGGCCTGTTAAGGGTCTGTGATTATACAGATAGACTTTAACAGGAGCCATTGATATTATCAATCTACAAAGTAGTTCGTACCACTTGATTTTCTGTCATATGATGCAAAAAACTCGAGCTGAACTGCTGACAAGTATCAAAAAGGAAGCAAACCCTATTTCTATGTTGATGATAAAAAAAAAATAACACGACTTTAAGAAATAAAGAGAAAAATTCTTTTACAACATCGAATTCTATCAAGTTTAAAGGCGTACCATTTAAATTATAAATCAAGATCACGCAAAATATGGAATTTTCCGTGCCCTAATCCTACCCGTGCTAAGAAAGAAAAGGATTTAATCTATAGCGAAAAATATTAGGGCACAAACACAAAACAGCAAGACAAAGGGATGAGATAAAGCAAGCGTAATGAGAAATTACCGGCGATTAGCAGAGGAATCTCCCAGCAAAATGGCGGTGGTGTTTAGCGTTTGTCGTCGTTGTTGAGGCTGCGCTTCTCGTTTGTTCCAGAGACGATGGGATGAGAGAGAGTGTGAAATCGTGTTTTCAAGTGAGACTTGAAGATTTTTTCATTATTTACACAAAACAAATAAAAGAGATGTTGAATTGGGTCGGTGATATGTTACGCTTACCCAAGGTAAAGCAGCGTAAAGGGAGCGGGGCAGTTTTTGCTAAACCTGACGTCCCTTGGGTTTTATGAGAGACTAATGTCCAAAAAAAAATTACAAAATTACAAAATTAAAAAATATTCTGTTATATTTTAAGTCCATTTTTATGTCCATAAAAACTATATATTTAGGCAAAATTTGTCATAATTGCATTCTTTTCCGATTTTACCCCTCTATAATATTAGGAGATGTTTGGTTTTATGATTAGAGTGTGTTTAGGGAGCATCCACAAACACCGGCACACCCCTTCTTCCTTGTAAATCTTTACCAACTCACGAACTAGAATTAAGAGGGAGGGCATGGATGTTATGTGATCAATAATTGCCAACCTAATTTTCCTGTCGTAGGCCTTGCCCCTTGTCAAACCCTTTCTAAACTCAGAGATTATTTCTTCTTTGGAGTGGATATGGAAAGAAAAATGTACCACGATGACAGAGCCACCTGCATGGGTCACATAAGCCTCGATGAATTTCTTCACAACTTGGAAAGCATAGTGGAGCATGACAACCGCATCTCCTTTGTTGAAACGACCTTCCGTGAATGCCCATCCAACCCTCTGGAGAATAATGGTTGTGGCGATGGTGGCATTGTCAACGATTGATACTTCAGAGATGGCATCGACGTTGATAATGTCATTACTTAGGGTTCGGGAACGGAGGATTTGGGTAGGTAGTTAGTTGAAGAAAAAATTGTTGGGTTGTTGAAGAAACTTGAGTTGCCATCATTTTTAATTTCATCCATTTTGTTTGTATCTTGTTGCTAGGGTTTCATGTGAAGGGTCACACTGTTTGTGTCAAAAGAAGAAGCAACGAGGAGCTGCCGGAGCAGCCCCTCTCACCACCATTATCAAGGATGACAGTCACCATCTACCATCTTCGCTATTTCCTGCTTCCATTCTTCTTTTTCTTCTTTGAAGCATGTGATCATCGGAGGTGCTTTCTTGATCCACCCCGCCGTTGCTTCCATTTCCACTCGATTGGTGGTCGCCGACGACGGGAGAAAGACCATGAAGGGTCGCTAAAAGCTCCAGGTCTTGAAGGTCGCACGTTCGTTTCGACATCTCCTAATGCCAAACATGTGTCGATCTATAACCAAACATCCCATAATGCCATAGAAGGGTAAAATCGGGGGAAAAAAAAAAGCAATTATGACAATGTTTGCCCAAATATGCAGTTTTTGTGGAAATAAAAATTGATTTAGGATATATCCAAACATTTATTGTAAATATGATGGCTTTTATGGCATTAGCCCTTTTATTAATTGCTATTTTTCACTAACCCAGTTCTATTTTAACATTTTCTATGTTTGTTTTCTTGATTTGGTTTTTTTAAGTTTGAAATTTTTTAACCTAAATTGAAATGTGAATGTAAGTTGGTTTAATTGGGTTTTAGAAAAATATTATAATTTACATTTTATAAGTTAAAATATTTATCTAAATATAATACAGAACCGAACAAAACTCAAATTCAAATTCTAAAATTCAGTTTGGTTTGTTACTTCAAGCTCAGTTGGAAGCATAGGAGTTAATCATGGTAAATCTTGATCCTCAACCATGAAAATATCTACGATATTCGGTAAATGTAGTGATTTGATTTCATAAAAGTAGCAACCATAAAACTTGGTAAAAATTATTCATTACACTGAAAGATAAATCAATGAGACACTTTATGATTAATATAAACTAGACAAAACTACATGAATGATCTATGTAGTTAGCTGAAAATTGTCACTTTGGTCCAAAAAAAATTTGACTACCACTAGAAGTCCAAACGTTTCCATTTTGTCGCGAGTGTGGTCCATTTTAGTTTGAACTTTTTTATAAAGAAAATTTTGTCCCTTGTTATTTAATTTTCCATTTTTATTTTATTATAGAAATTAAAAAAATTAAAAATAAAAATAAATAAAATATTCATCTCTCTCTATCTCTCTCTCTCTCACACACACACACATCGATCATCGTCTTCCTAGAAAAAACACGCACACTCATCTTGCACCTTTTTATCACCTAAAATCAAAGAAAAACTCATCGGACCCAAATTATATGTAACTAAGTCAAAGTAGATGGACCAGGTGATAACAAAGAATAATGAAACCCAAATCCGATTTGGGTAATCCCGCTGAGATGGAAATTCCAACTAAAGTTGCACCTGTCAAATACACACATTTGTACCCATCTTTGATAGAAGCAATCAATCAGGGAAACTAAATAGTCTCGTCTTTGGTTTCGATTCAACAACCCATCTCTCGTTTAGACTTCAATATTTGGTCCCCCTACCCCTGTTCTTTCTTTGTTTCATTTGGGTATTCAAGATTTCAATCGTCGAGGCTTAAAAATCGAACTACACTCTCACTGAAAGCAACCATACATCTTACTCTTCCTTACTATATCGTTGGTGGGAGGAGACGATGAAACCCTAACGTTGCCATGTCAAGCTCTGAAGTCCTTTCAATCCTCATGTTGATAGGGTTTTCATACGTCACCCTTTTTCAAATCTGCATCACCCCTTTCTCAGATCTATGTCGTCAACCCCCATTCTCAGATCTGGGTGTTCTTCAAAAATGGAGAGTGTGGGATTTTTATGACCGGGGTCGATTTTGGCGTGCTTTTTGTTTGACAGAAAGAGAAGAAGAGAAGAACTTAATTGCTGTTGATTCTAGTTTACTGATAAATTTCACTGGAACACCATGATTGATGACCTTGAAGAATCCAAAATCTTGACAGGATTTAACGAGGAGCTATTTTGATTCATATTTGGAGAGGTCGATCAGGGGAATAGTTTGAAAAGTTTGGGGAGGAGATGTTGTTTGGTTTGCAGGTCTTGACAAATAGGCGATTTTTGGTAGGTCTTCAATTGAATAATGTGAGTTTTGTTGATGTGTTTGAAGCAGAAAAAAGTGAAAGATCTTGTATGTTCAATAGTCATATTAATGTAATATTACTAACTAGTTGTGAGACCCATGTATTACATAAATTAAATTTTTTTTAAAAGTTAAATATAAATGTCAAAAACACCAAACTTATAAGAAAATAAGAATAATAAAAAAAATATTAAAACTGAAATATTTTTATCTTTTAAATTTAAATAAATAAACAAAAGATATTAATGAGCTTTAATTTGGTAATTTTGAAATAAAAAGATAAATCCATTTATGAAATTTATATCCATTTATTGTAATTATTACATTAAAATATTATGTAAGATTTAATAAAATAAGAAAACATATAAAATGACATATGAAAAAAAATTAATTCAAAATAACAACAAAATAACATTTGACAAATTGAATAAGAGTGTGACATATGGATAGACAGTAAGATAATTAAAACTAGTTTCGTATTACATTCTATTAAAAAAACTTAACATTATATATATATATATATATATATATATATATATATATATATATATATGTATTATCTAATATATTTTTCTAAATGTAAGGATATTAAACAATTATTCATAAATTGACAGACAGTTAAGATTATTAAAACCTGTTTCATATTGCATTTTATTAAAAAGACTTAACAATATATATATATATATATATATATATATATATATATATATATATATATATATATATATATATTTACACATACATAAATATATATATATATATATATATATATATATATATATATATATTTACACATACATAAATTTGTAACTAAATACATAACCAAAGATAATAAGCCTTCTATTCAAATAAAAAAATAAAAAAATAAACATAGTAAATATTATATACAAACAATGAAAATATATACTAAAAAGTAAAACTAATGTGCTCCACATACAATGTTTTACGGTGAAAAACAATATATATATATATACTAGTTGTAAACCCGCGCAAAGCAGCGGGCGGACATTAATTCATTTCGGTTATTAGGTTCTTTGCGGCTTTAACTTTTATTTCGAATTCACATGATTGTTTCGGAGATTTGGATAGATAGTTTTCTGTTGGCGGATGGTAAATAGTTTTTTTTTTCAGAATTTTTTTTCTTTCAAAACAAATTGCATATTACACAGAACACGTATTGTTGTGGAATCAAATACTTTATGTTCAACGAATAGTTTCGTTTGGCGAATTGTTTTCGGTGGCAATAAGTTTTCTTTTGATATGCTATTACGAGATAAATATTAAAGATGGTAAGTTAGCTTAAAAAGAAAAATACATTGTATTTTTGAGTTAAATATAATACTACGTTAATTTGCTTACAAATACAAATAAGTTGTTATTATATTTTAAATGTGAAAGTATGTTGCTATTACATGTTAAATGTTAAAGTACCTTGCTATTTTAGTTTAAAAACAAAATAGGTTTTAGTTTTAGGTTAAATAATATTTGCTACTGTTTTAGCTTAAATAATTAAAAAATAATTTAGTTGCTATTTTTAGTCTCATGCAAGGCAAGCAAAAACTGTAGAAGTTTTGAATTGTGTTTTTTTTTTTTTTGACGAATAGCTTTTTTTTCGATGTACCTATCTTTGGATAAGGAGGTTTGTAACTGAGGGTTCCTATTTTACGTGTCCTGTTTTATAGTGAAACTTTTCATTTAAATTTTAGTTAATTTTGTTATAATAAGAATGTTTAAATAAATACTCTACTAATTGGCTTTATTATCACAAAGATGCTTGAACCCAATTCCATATAATTCAAACCAAACACGAAAGACAATTTATATACATTTCAATATAAGCACTAATCTCAACTAAAATGATATTAATCTTGAAACAAAAGGCATGTAAATACTTTTACAGGCAATTGAAGACTTCTTACAAAAGCAATTGTGTGGTCTTTCTAGACCACCTGGAGATCAACCAATAGTCCTGTCTTTATTTCTTTAATGTTGTCTTACATGATCTTAGACGTAATGATTCATCAACTTCAGAAGGTAGGGAATGTGTTATGCCTTTTAAAAATATAAAGTTGCATAAAATACCAAAATTAAGGATGAAAATTAAAATATGAGATAATGTGAAAGCCAAATTGAGGCCCCAAAAAACACCTATCTATCTTGTATCCAAAAGGTAGTCCATCTTTCATACAGAACATCCAACACATGCAGGAGATTACAAATTAGTAGAATAAACTAAAGGTCCAGCTATGTAAGTACACTGCTAATTTGCTATTTCCCACGTTCTTTCATTAATCTTTTTTTTAACAAAAAGAAAAATTATAAAAACCGCACATCAGGTAGTAGAGCAAAGTACATTGCTATACACTATAAGAAAAAAAAATCCAATAACAGCTAAACACCTAAACACATAAATTGGAAAAGACAAACAACCTCACATTAAAAGAAATTCACAACCTTGTGAACATTAGAAACAAAAAACCTTTCATAATCCATTGAACATAGACAGGCTCAGGGTGAAAATAATATAGTAATAACCTATTGTTTAAAATAGGAAAAACAAACTTACCCAACCTTTCTTGGTCAAAAAATACATTTTGTACATGCCAACTTGCCAAATTGAGCCCATGGAAAGAAATATAGTCCACCAAATTAATGAACTTGAAAATTAGTTTTATGTTTGAACTCACAATGCTTATATAGTAGATAATACTTGAAGTAGATATATTTGGATACGATGGTGAAGTTGGATTAGTCTCCTCATTAACATGGGTAATTTCGACATTTAACTTTGTCTTCTCCTCATTCTTATCAGCAGAAGTAGAAATTTGAGAAACAACTTCTTTAGATGCCTTCCTGGAAATGATGGCAACTTGTATATCTGCTTCAACTTCTTGGTACTAGCTTCCAAACAAGTCTACAAGCTCATAAGGAAAAACAATAAGTAAGCATTCTGTTGATTACCATTAGCAAAATCAGAGAACCCTTGAAACTATCGTTTAATATCCATTCAAAACTTCTTGCTTCGAATATTAGTTTCTCAAATATTAATTGTTCCAATATTTTTTTTGTTATTAGCTATTAGATCCTGCCTAATGACAAAAACTGATGTCGATTGAAACTCATTTAACGAAATAAGAAAGAATACGAACCATTATTTTTTAGAAGAACAGTAAAACTGAAAAGAGAAATAAACCAAACTTC